TCAGCTGCAGCTGAAGTCCTGCCGCCATGGAAACAGGGAGACTACGTGGCTGAAGCCGGCTACACCAGTATGACCAGTATGACCAGCATGACCAGTGTCAGCAGCGCTGCCCAGGTGCATATGGAGAAACACTGGGAGCAGCAGGTCACCGCCACCAGAGAGGTGAGGACGGAGTAGCTAGAACATGATGAAAACATGATGAGAACATGATGAAAACATGATGAGAACATGATGAGAACATGATGAGAACATGATGGGAACATGATGAGAACATGATGAGAACATGATGAGAACATGATGGAACATGATGAGAACATGATGGGAACATGATGAGAACGTGTAACTTGATCAGTGTGTGATGTGCTGTAGAGTGACTGAACTACCAGTGAAATGTGTCTCAGCTCTGTGGTGTGATCATGTGATCACGTGTTCCTATGTTCATGTGATCATGTGTTTTTGTCGATGTGGACGCGTCAGGATGAGCATGTTTCCGTGGACGATAAGAGCGTGGCGGTGGCTACTGTGGTTGCAGCCGTGGATCAGGCTCGTAGCCGGGGGCCGTCTGAGGCCGCAGTGTCTGGAGAGCAGGTAGACGCCCCTCTCCACCCCCACCCCCCACGTCTGCTCCCATCACCCTCCACCTGCCACCTCAGACGTCACTTCATCTTTTTTCCCTCTTTCTTCCTCGTTCACTGGAGTGTTTGTCACTTCATCAGAGCACATTCCTGCTCCCCAGAGGATCAACCTTTTCACCCCCCCCCCAAGACTAAATCATTACATATTTAGATGTCATCAGATCATATTCTGAGGTACAGAGATTGTCCAGACCTGGAAATCGACAGTTTCTACAGAAAAGCACAGAGTTGTTGTTTCAGGTTTCTTTAACTTCCTTTTACACTCCAGCCTGAACTCCTGAGTAATAAGTTATTAAAATTGATAGGTGGATTAAATGAGACGTACAACTGTGTTTCATTGGGGTAATAATGGTGGCAGTATGTGTAAGTCAGTGGTAGCATATAGAAACTAAATTAAAAGGGGCCGAGAATTGAACCCTGTGGGACGCCACGTGGTGTGAGACGATCAAACAGGTGGAAACACAGAAATGAATTTTTTTTTTTAAATATGACAGATCTCCATCATGGTTTCATCGTCTGAGCTTCACTCAGGTTTTACTTTGATGGTTTTCTGTTAATTCAACTAAAATTTGCACCAAATTTTGACGTAAACTTTTAGCGGGTTTTAGCAGCAGTTAGCATCTGAGCTATTTGTTGACCAACAACCACAGTGACTGAAAATCTCGTGTTTGTTATTTATATTTAGTTTGTTGCTTTACAGTTCTATCATGAGACTGTAGATCAGACAAACTCAGTGTGAATATGAAAGTGTTGTTGAAAGGTGTGTTTCTTGAACGTCTCTTGACCTTTTCTGTATCTGCTGTTTTTAATGAATTCACAAGGTTCAGTCAATCTTCTCTCCGCGTCACTCTTAATGAGAATAAAGTGCATGTTTCACTCTAATGTTGCATGAAGCATGATGTCATCGATTCAGAATATTCTTCTTCTCTTGTATCTTTAATGTATGAATATTTATTCTTTGATCTTTGGGGCTTCTGGTCGAGTTTCCTCCTCCTGTCACGTTGCCATGGATGTGCTGAGATCTATGTGCTGCTTGTTGTGTCTCCAGGCTGAGGGAGGGAAAAGAGCCGGGGCGGTGGCCACAGTGGTGGCCGCCGTCGACCTGGCTCGCGTCCGCCAGCCCGTGCATGCAGAGGGCGGTGGAGCTGAAGAGGAGGAGGCTGTGGAGGTGGCGATAAGGCAGCAGGCGGCAGAGAAACAAACTGTCGCAGCTACAACAGCGGCTGCCGTCGCCGTGACCTCAGAGCAGCACAGAGTCCAGGTCTCCCAGGTCGGGGGAGTTTCCTCAGTCCATATCAGCCATGATGTGATTTCTGATAATAATAATCTCAGAGTCTGAGCTTTCTTAACCGCTCCATGAAACTCTGTTGGTTCTCCAGATTCAGAGAACAACAGAAATCTCCTCCTACGTGGACTCTGGTGTCTCCGCGTCCTCAGTCCCACATTTCACAGTCTCTAAAGTTTCTGTCCCTAAACATGAAGCGAGCCACGAGGTAAGGAGAGGAACCGCAGGCCCGCCGTCGTCATCCACAAACCTCCATGTTCATCTTTAACACACACACATCTTAACATGCAGTCTCCACTGTGCTGTGATGTGGTGTGATTCACTCTGACATGCTGCTCACAGTGTCACCATCCTAAAATATATTTCATCAGCTTTTCTCTCTGAAGCAGAAACAATCTAAAAATCTAAAAATCATTTCCCTGTTTCATCCACGAATTTCTACTTTTATCAACTTTACATTCAGTTGTTTTTGGGTTGAAGTTTCAGTAAATCAAACCTCCAGGAGTCCTGAGAGACGACAGGCAGGTTCTTAAACTCTGCTAAATCTATTGTTGTTAGGTTGATTTAAGTTGTAATTATTTATTGTAAATTAAACTCAGTTAACATTTGTGATATGTTCAGATAAATGAAGCTTGTCGAGACGAATAAATCAGTGAAAAGTTAAACTCTCAGTAACCTTTGTAGAGTGGGCGTCATATTTTGTGTTAGGACTTATGGCCCAGCAACATTAACTCCCACTCTCCTCGGCTCTCACTAACCCCTCCCCCGTTGGTCGTGGACAGTCTGTTAACACTGTTCTCATTGGCTCGGTCAGGTGTCCATCGCCGGCTCTGCCATCGCCACTCTGCACAAAGAGCTGTCCTCCCCCGCCGCCCGCAGAAAGGTCATCAAACCCGTCAAGTCTCCCAGTCCATCTCGCAGGGCGGCGGTGGAGGTGCGGGTGACGCCGGAGCCCCTCCCCCCACCATTCAAAGACGTCAGATATCAGAGTCAGGTTGAGTTACAGCAGGGTGGGGCTTACGCAGTGAGTGAAGAGGAGTTTGAGGACTGGGAGCCTCAGGTTGGTCCGACACCCCCCCCGCACACACTTCACCTCCCCCAATTTAACCCCCCGTGTGGACTGTCACCTGCGTTCCCCCTCTTCACCGCAGCCAATCACACGCTGCCCTTCACCTGCCTCATGAAGAACCCTGTTCTTCCTCTTCCTGTCTTCACCTGTTGACCCCTCCATTCTCTCCTCAGGGTTTTATCTGTTCTAACTGGCTTCTCCCTCCATCCTCACAGACTGTCACATGATGTTTCACGTGTGTCATGGTGTTTGACTCCTGCTGTTGTTTCTCCTCAGGAGGCGGCTGCTGTGCCCACGAGAGCCCAGGAGCCGGTGGTCCCTCCCACTCTGATCGCTGTAAGTACTTCCTGTTTCCTTCCTTCAAAATAGAAACAATGTAAAAGTCTTTTTGGTGACGGCAGCGTCGGTCGGTCCATCACTTTGATCCAGACTGAACTGTTCAACAGCTGCTGGATGGACTTCCAGTCGTGTTCCCCAGAGGATGAATCTGACTCGTCTGTTCATCCTCTGACTTTTCCTCCTGCGCCACCAGAGTTTGATGTTTTTGGGTTTTAGTAAAATATCTCCACAGCTACTGGATGGATCGTTATGAAATGTGGTTCAACAGCAGTTTGTGTTAACAAAGGGTTTTTTTCTATTTCACTAAAACATTAAACTAATAATATAATTATAAATCATAATGAAAACTAGAAAATTCCAGGGAAATTTTGAGTGCCACGGGGGCTACTGCCGGGATGAGCACATGATTTATTTCCAGTGTTCAAAAGTCACCCTGATCATATTCTGGTTTTGAGAAATGTCTTGATATAAAAGACTCTGATATAAAACAATGTCTCATCCCTCCATCATGTATTATGTGGGAAATATCTCATATTCTGTGTTGTTTTTTTTAATAAAACAAGAGGCAACATGTCTTCAAACTGGCATTTAAAGGGTTAAAATCCTGAAAACTAATAAACATTTGGTAGGTTTGAGCAGAACTGAAGTGGTTTCAGAGATGTATGCAAAAAAAAGCAGAAAAAAATATTGATATATGATGATTTTATAGCATTTTCTTTGTGTGTCCTTTTTTGGACGCGAGGAACCCCAGAGGGTACAAAATGTGTTACCAGTGTATAATAGACCTGTAACAGTAACTGACATTAGATTTTAAAAATATGTCAAAAAAGACACTTTCTTGCAGAAATCCATACCTTCAGCTGTAACACAGCCAAAATGATCAGCTAATCAAAAAAGAAAAGTGAAGAAAATGTCCAAAAAAGGACAGAGGGACCCCTGAGGGTTAATAAATCCCATGAACCGCTATTTAAATTACCACTATTATGTTTTTTTCGGTGCTAAATTTAACATTACTGGGGAGGAGAGCAACGTGACTAGAAGTGACAGCGAGAGAGGGCTAGTAGCTTCTCCTCTCCTCTGTCTCAGCGGAGACCGTCACAACTTCATTCACTCATTTAACAAAACAAAAAGAAAAGCAACAAAGGAAGCAGTAAATGGACTTACATATTTAAGACCTAACTAAATGTAATTTAAGACCTAACATGCGGCTAATGTAAAGCTAGCGGAGCTTGGAGAGTTGGTTATCTGGTTGCTAGGCGCACGCACGCACGCACACAGGTCAGGAGCTGCCGTTGCCATGGCAATGTGAAAATCTGCCCAGAATTTGGCTTCTACATGGCTTCAAACAATTGCAAATTATGAGAAAACCGTTACTTCTTTTCAAAAACCGAAAACACCGTGACAGACACTGAAGCCAGAAGTTTCTTATAGTCTCTATTTTATTCAGATATTCCTTAAAATGAGTGAGTAAGCTCAGTGCGAAGACAGAGTGAGATTCTTTTGAAAGAAAAACGATTACATTAGGTGTCAATGAAGAAGAATAATAATAAGCCCAAAGGAATATTAATAGATGCCTCGGAGCTGAGCACCCGTGGCACTAATTACTGTAAAATCCTGCTGAAGCATCGATGACTCAGGATTAATAATCTGATGAAATAAATTTTTACTTTTGAGACTTTAAGTACATTTTACTGGTAATACTTCTGTACTTTTACTAAAGTCAAAGATCTGAGTAGTTGTTCCACCTCTGTTAGTTTTTGTCTTGTCCCATATTTTTACTCCTGATGTAGGAAACATGTTCTTCAGTCACGAGTTTGATGAAACCGACAGCTTTAGTCTGAAGGTGTCACTGTTTCCTGTTCAGGGCCTGAAGAACGTGACGGTGACGGAGGGCGAGTCCATGACCCTGGAGTGTCAGATCAGCGGCCACCCAGCTCCCGTCATCATGTGGTTCAGAGAGGACTACAAGATCGAGAGCTCCATTGATTTCCAGATCAGCTACGAGAACGGATTTGCCAGGCTGGTGATCCGCGAGGCGTTCGCTGAAGACAGCGGACGCTTCACCTGCACCGCCACCAGCGAGGCGGGAACCGTCAGCACCTCCTGCTACCTGCTCGTCAAAGGTAATGGTGGTAGGATAAGGAACACAGGCCTGTTGAGTAGTAACCCATGTAAATACAAGTCTCTCTTACCTCACTTTAACTCGTGACTTACTGACTAGTTTTGTCTTCTGACAAAATGTTAATTTGTTTTAGGCTTATTTTCTTATTATAATACAATTTTAACTTGATTTTTGGAGTAAATTGATGGATGTCTGGAAGTTAGTAAATCAAACTTAAAACTGTCGGTGTGACTTGAAAAATATAAGTTTTATAATTCACCCTCTGTTGTAGTGTCAGAAGAAATTGAGAGCAGAGAGGAGACGACTGTCACTAAAATTGGAATCACACAAGAGAAAACGTGAGTCAAAGTCTTTTTTTAAACAGTCCTAATCAGCTGTTGTACTATTTCATGTAAGTTTCCACAGTTGTAGTGTTTGACGGAGCTGTTGGTTTCCTTCAGTGTTGCTGTAGAGACAAAGGAACAGATGGTGACAGAGGTGACTACAGGAGAGTCCGCTGCTCCCTTCTTCATCAAGAAACCCACTGTTCAGAAGCTGGTGGAGGGAGGAAGCGTCGTCTTCGAATGCCAGGTCGGAGGAAACCCAAAACCTCACATCATCTGGAAGAAGAGCGGTGTGCCGCTCACTACTGGATACAGGTACAAATCTCCCCAAAAGTGGTTAGCTAACTTAGCTAGCTAGACAGTGTTAGCCAGCAAGGTTGTTAGCTTCACGCATTGTACATTTATAAATAAAAATATTTCCTTCTCATTTATTTGTCCTTCAGTATTTAAACATTTTCATGTATTTTAACAGGTCGTGAACTTTGTTGATTAACATGATCTATTAAGTCGATTTAATGGACTCCTCATCTCGTGTTAGCTTATATTCACAGTAATAAGTGTTTATTGTAACTTAATTAATTTGACAGCATGTTAGCTAACACAACTTTAGTTTTTAAAATATCAGAGTGGCTGTACAGGATAAAGCAGTTACTATTAATTGGTGGGAGACAAATCAAATCTTCCCTATGTAGAAAAAGTTGAACAAGAAAGCAAAGTTCAGGTTGAGATATACAGCTTCTCTCTTTGATGTTTGCTGATCTCTTTGTTTACAGATCACAACTTTAACTATTGTTTTGTGTTTTGCCATCAGATACAAAGTCGCCTACAAGAAGGAGACTGGAGAATGCAAACTGGAGATCTCCATGACGTTTGCTGATGATGCTGGAGAATACTCCATCTTCGTCAAGAATCCTCATGGGGAAGCCTCGGCCTCCGCTGGCCTGCTGGAGGAAGGTACTGGCATCCTTTTGTTTCTCCATCCAGTGATTTTTATCCCATCTGAACGCCTGACTTCAAAAGGCATCTTCTGTCTTGGCTCACAGTGTTTGTGCATCTATTTTTACAGAGGAATACGAAGCTTATATGAAGCAACATGACGTGACGTATAAAACTGAAGTAACGACGACAGTGGTCCAGGAGCCCTCTGTGGTTGTGAGCCAATACGAGCTGGAACAGAAGAGGGTGACGACCCCCATGAGCTTTGTCTCAGAAACGGTACATTCTTTGTAAAGATCTGTAGTTCTGTGATAAACAAGATTATGAAGAAGTCTCAGTAATCCCAGTTCATATTTTTTATTAAACATTAAAAACTTTTTTTGCAGGAATTCCTCATTTCAGCCTTTGAGGAGAGGATCATTCAGGAGATTGAGCTCCGTATCATGAGGATTACCTACAGAGAGCTGGTGACAGAGGATGGAGAGCTGATGGTGACTGCAGCAGAAGAGGAGGCAGTGCAGCCGGCCTTTGACACACCCGTCAAAAACTACCGCATTATGGACGGAATGGGCGTTACTTTCCACTGCAAGATGGGTGGAAATCCACTGCCTAAGGTATTTAGTGGAAAATGTTGTAGGAAAATATCTCAATGTAAAAATCTAGTATAAAATTAGCAAACCAAAGTTTTTCAAATGTCATAGTTTTGTTTGTGGCCTTTGTTGCTCCTGCTTTTAGTTAGTATTTGCCTGGTTGAACGACTGTGAAATGATATTTTAAAACCTCTCTAGTGCTTCATACTGAGAAGTTATGTTGGTGAGTAAAATGATTTTCTGTCTTCTGCCAGATTGTTTGGTACAAAGACGGCCAGCGCATCAGAGCTGGTGGCCGTTACCAGATGGAGGTTCTTCAGGATGGACGAGCCAGCCTTCGTGTACCTGTGGTGCTGCCAGAGGATGAGGGCGTGTACACCGCCTTCGCCAGTAACATGAAAGGAAATGCTGTCAGCTCTGGGAAGCTGTACGTGGAGCCGTCCGGAGCTGTAACACCTCAGAGATACACACCACAGCCGGCAATGCAGAGAATCAGGTAAGCATCAAAGTTTTCCAAAGTGGTTATTGTTTGACATTTTTGTATTAGCAATGAATCACATTTTAAACTGAAAACACCCTAAAGCTTTACCTGTAGCACATCACCTTTATACTGACGACTCTGCGCCTTTCTCAGGTCCACATCTCCTCGTTCTCTGAGCCGCTCACCTGGTCGTTCTTCCAGCCGTTCTCCTGGACGTTCTCCTGCCCGTAGGCTCGAAGAGACAGATGAGGCTCAGCTGGAAAGACTCTACAAACCTGTGTTTGTCATGAAGCCTTCCTCAATAAAATGCTCCGAGGGGCAAACTGCCAGATTTGACTTGAAGGTTGTCGGCAGACCCATGCCCGACACATACTGGTTCCACAATGGTAAGAGTAACAAGGTTCAACATATTCCAGAAATGCTCTTTATCTGTTGCTTCTGCCGCTTGTTAAACCATTTATTCTTTGCCCAGGACAACAAGTGGTCAATGACTACACCCACAAGATAGTGATTAAAGAGGACGGTATTCAGTCCCTGATCATTGTCCCGGCTATGCCGCAAGACTCTGGAGAATGGACAGTCGTGGCTCAGAACAGAGCTGGACGAACCTCTATTTCTGTAAATCTTACTGTTGACGGTAAGTCTGCATCACAGATTTATTAGACTGACCCAGATGACTTTTTAAGCTTTAGCTGTTACTAAATCCTGTCTTGTTCTTTATCATATTTCACCATCCACAGCTCGGGAGAGCGTAGCACGCCCTCAGTTCACTGACAAGCTGAGGAACATCACTGTGAAGCAGGGAACTCTGGTTGAACTGGCTGTTAAAGCCATTGGAAACCCCCTGCCTGATATTGTCTGGCTGAAGAACAGTGACATTATCACACCACAGAAGCACCCACACATCAAGTATGTATCCTAAATTTTAGCTATGAATTATTTTCTGAAACAGCTATGTAAAACTGCACAGTAGTGAATTAAATGTTCCAGTTAATATATTTGAATGGTTACGTATTTCAGGATCGATGGTACTAAAGGAGAGGCCAAATTCCAGATTCCCTCAGCAGCTGGCTCAGACAGTGCCTGGTACACAGCTACAGCCATTAACAAGGCTGGTAGAGACACGACTCGCTGCAGAGTCAACGTTGAGGTGGACTTTACTGCCCCTCAAGCTGAGAGGAAGCTCATTATTCCCAAAGGAACCTACAAGGCTAAAGAGATTGCAGCTCCGGAGCTGGAGCCCCTTCACATGCGATACGGTCAAGAGCAGTGGGAGGAGGGCGACCTTTACGACAAAGAGAAGCAGCAGAAACCGCTGTTCAAGAAGAAGCTGACCTCTGTTCGCATGAAGCGTTTCGGTCCAGCTCATTTTGAGTGCAGACTGACCCCTATTGGTGACCCCACCATGGTGGTGGAGTGGCTGCATGATGGCAAACCCCTGGCAGCTGCTAACAGGTTGCGCATGGTCAATGAATTTGGCTACTGCAGCCTTGACTATGAAGTTGCTTACGCTAGAGACAGTGGCGTTATCACCTGCAGAGCCTCAAACAAGTTTGGAGTCGACCAGACCTCGGCCACCCTGATCGTCAAGGATGAGAAGGGTCTTGTTGAGGAATCACAGCTTCCTGAAGGCAGGAAGGGAGCACACAGAATTGATGAGATTGAGCGCATGGCTCATGAGGGAGGACCTGCAGGAGTCAGTACTGACGATGAATCTGAAAAGACCAAACCTGATATTGTCCTGCTTCCTGAGCCAGCCAGAGTGCTGGAGGGCGACATTGCACGATTCCGCTGCAGAGTGACCGGTTATCCAGCACCCAAGGTTAACTGGTACCTTAACGGACAACTTATCCGCAAAAGCAAGAGATACAGACTTCGTTATGACGGTATTTACTACTTAGAGATTGTCGACATCAAGTCCTATGATGCAGGAGAGGTCAGGGTGGTTGCAGACAATCCCTTGGGCACAACTGAGCACACTGTGAAGCTGGAGATCCAACAGAAAGAGGACTTCAGATCTGTCCTGCGTCGTGCTCCGGAAGCGAAGGCCGCAGAGGCTGCACATGAGACTGGCAGAGTTGGATTTGATGTTGTGAAGGTCGACCGATCTGCCGAGGCCGCACAGGACAGGGAAGTTGTTACGCTTCGTAAGACACAAAGAATTGTTCGCGAGAAAACCTCAGAGGAGTCTGCTGAGCTGAAGAGCAAGTTCAAGCGTAGGACAGAGGAAGGTTTCTATGAGTCCATCTCTGCTGTGGAGTTCAAGTCTCGCAAGAGGGATGACTCTTATGAAGATCTACTGAAGAAGACTAAGGAGGAGCTGCTTCATCGCATGAAAGAGAAAGAAGAGGCTGAGAGGAAGAGGTTGGAGGAACAGGGCAAAGTCACCATCCCCACAATCAAACCAGAGAGAGTCCAGCTCTCCCCCAGCATGGAAGCACCCAGGATCCTGGAACGCATCGCTAGCAAGACCGTTGCTCCAATGGATGAAGTCCGTTTCCGACTCAGAGTCGTGGGCAGACCAGAACCTGAGTGCCAGTGGTTCAAGAATGGCATTCAGTTGGAAAAGTCAGACCGTATCTACTGGTACTGGCCTGAGGACCATGTGTGTGAACTGGTGATCAGAGATGTCACAGTAGAGGATTCTGCCAGCATCATGGTTAAAGCCATCAATGTTGCTGGAGAGGCCTCGAGCCACGCCTTCCTGCTTGTGCAAGGTACAGTAACTTTATACCAGATTTCTCCAGTGACATTCTCATTGTCTTTGTCATGATTCATTTTGAAATCTCACGTCATATTTTCTCATTGCAGCCAAGGCGACAGTTAGCTTTACCCAGAACCTGGAGGATGCCAGTGCCAGTGAGAAGGACACAATGGTGACCTTTGAATGTGAAACGAATGAACCTTTTGTCAAAGTCAAGTGGCTCAAGAACAACACGGAGGTCTTTTCCGGAGACAAATACAGAATGCACTCAGACAGAAAGGTCCACTTCCTGTCTGTGTTGGTTATTGAAATGCGGGATGACGCCGAATACACTTGTGCGGTCATAGATGACGAGAGCATCAGGACAAGCGCAAGGCTTCACGTAGAAGGTAATTTTTACACCCAGTATCTTCACATCTGCTGTTATTTGGTCTTTTTTGGGTGAATTGGTGGATAACGGCTCTTGATATTGTTCTGTATCCAGGCGCTGCCCTGGACCTCATCAAACACTTGGAGAACATTGAGGTACCAGAGACCTACGCTGGAGAGTTTGAGGTTGAGCTGTCTCGTGAGGACGCTGAAGGCAGCTGGTTCTTTGGAGACAAGGCGCTCTCTCCCAGCAGTAAATATATCATGTCCTCCCGCCGAGGAAGACACACCCTATCTGTCAAAGATGTCAGGAAAGAGGACCAGGGGAAATACACCTTTGTATGTGGAGACCTGAAGACCAGTGCCTCACTGAAGATGAAATGTAAGCATCTTTACTGAGTTACCATAGTTGTGGGCCTCAGAAACATGAAGGTAGCTGTTGCATATTGTGGTAACTGTAGTGTGATGTGATCATAATGAGGTTTCTCCACCTTTAGTGCGCCCGGTCACCCTGATGCACCCCCTGACCGACCTCACGGTCTGTGAGGGTGACATTGCTCAGCTGGAGGTGAGGTTCTCCCAGGAGAACGTTGAGGGAACCTGGATGAAGAACGGCCAGGCCATCTCCGCCTCGGACCGCATCCACATTGTAATCGACAAACTGGTTCACAAGCTGCTGTTGGAGAATGTCAGCAGAGAAGATGCTGCTTCCTACTCTTTCGTGGTTCCCGCCCAAGACATTTCCACCTCAGGCAAACTCAATGTTCAAAGTAAGAGTCAGAATCAGTGTCAGATCTAAGTGACACCCAACTCTAACCATCACCACAACACCTCGAACATCTCTGATGATCATTTTATTGTATTTCCTTACAGCTATTGACATTGTGGTGCCACTGAAGGACGTGTCCTCCATCGAGGGCACCAAAGCTGTTCTGGAGGCCAAGATCTCCGCTCAGGACATCAGCTCGGTCAAATGGTACCACAACGACAAACTGCTGTTGCCCAGTGACCGAATCCAGATGGTGGCAAAGGGAGCCAAGCAGCGTCTGGTCTTCACCCGGACCCACGCCTCCGACGGAGGACACTACAAACTGGTGGTCGGCAAGGTCGACACCAGCTGCAACCTGACTGTCGAAGGTAAGACCAATTTTATTTTCCCATCATCCTGTTTTTAGCTTCGTCTTCCAGTTTCATGTTCTCACCGTGCTGCTGTTGTTACAGAGGTGCACATTGTGAAGCATATGGAGGACAGAGTGTGCTCCGAGTCCCAGAACGTCACCTTTAATGTGGAAGTTTCTCACCCTGGTATCGACCCGGTCTGGACCTTCAGGAACCAGCAGCTCAAACCTGGACCCAAACACAAGATGGAGTCTAAGGACAAGGCCCACTCCCTGACTGTCATTGACACCATGAAGGATGAGGAGGGCCAGTACATGTTCCATGCTGGTGAAAAGACATCCAGCGCCACGCTCACCGTCTCCGGTACGTCTGAACTCTTTAACAGCTTATTTAGGTGTCTGCCCAACAACGTTCAAATGAACTAATTTACACAATCCTTGATTCTCAAGAACCACTGGAACAAGACAGCTGGGAAACATTTCCATTCATTTCCATGTCTTGATTTGCATCAATATGGGCTAGTGAGATAATGTTTACAGATACTGTCCTGTCCTAACCAAGCACGGTAACATGAACAAAGGGGGTTGGACCTAAGTGCCAGAAGCAGAGCGATGGAGTTCAATGATTTATTAAACAAGTGGAACAAAGGATTATGGGATAGTTAGGGAGGCGGGGTCAAAACCAGAGAAGCACAGACAGCATTTTAAAATCTGATTAACAGGCAATAGATCAAAACACAGGTAAAGCTGGCAGGAACAGGAAACCAAGACGTGAAGCACACAGTCCACAACATAACGTTCTGGAAACTTAAAGGGGAAATGCTCTGTTGCCTGAGAATCATAAAACTAAGTGTGTCCTTGTGCTGCCACCAGGTGGAGCCATCACACGGCCCCTGCAGGACGTGACGGTGGCAGAGTCTCAGACAGCCGAGCTTGAGTGTCAAGTTGCCAACGCCGACGCCGAGGGGAAGTGGCTTAAGGAAGGTCGGCCCGTGGACTTCAATGAGAACGTGATCAGCGAGGTTAAGGGAGCCGTCAGGCGCCTCATCATTGTCATCACCAGACCGCAGGACGTCGGAGAGTACACCTACCAGGTGGCCAACTCCAAAACCACCGCCAACCTCAGAGTGGAGGGTAAGTGCCGGCTTCTTGCTACTTCACATTATATATCATATGTTGTCTAAATGTATTGTTGTGTACACACTGAGTTCTTTGTTCCTGTCTTGTAGCGGTGAAGATCAAGAAAACTCTCAGAAACCAGACTGTGACGGAAACCCAGGAGGCGGTGTTCACGCTGGAGCTCACCCACCCTGACGTGAAAGGATCCCAGTGGATCAAGAACGGAGTGGAGCTGCAGAACAGCGACAAGTACGAGATCACCTCCGAGGGCATGGTCCACACCCTGAAGGTGAAGGACTGCAACACACAGGACGAGTCAGTTTATTCCTTCAAGCTGGGAAAACTGTCCGCCAATGCCAGACTCAACGTAGAGAGTGAGTATCACTGATGTACTAGAATTTATTTATTTAAAAACTTCTCTGCAGGTTAATTTTTTTATATTTTTACCTATTTTATATGCGTACATTTTTGTCTTTGATTATCAGCTTTTAAACTGTCCTTACCCCAAGCATGGCGTCTTTTTTTCACCACAAACTCAGTTGCAAGTCTGACTCATCATCAATATACAAATTTCTAATCATAATCACTTTAAATATTATTATAGAACAGTGAAGGTTGTAAAAAATAGATGTAATGAATAAAATTATAATGAATTATAATAATAATAATAATAATAATATGTGGATAATAATAAATGATTACATGCAAAGTGATTTTGTAACAACTAATTTTTATTGAAATCTTTCCCAAAAATGTAAATTTTCTACAGATAATGTATAAAGTCCCACATCAACACCTTTAACTGATTTCCTCAGCTTGCTCTACATGGTAAATAAAGTATACGTTACTATAGATAAAACATGATCACAGGGGAGTGGCCTATAATCTATAATCAAACAGTATAATGAGACAATCAGACGTCATCATCTTGGAACAAATTACTGTTTTACATTTTAATATTTTAACTTTTGATAACTTTGATCTGCGACTCGTTTCTGCAGCGATCAAGATTGTGAAGAAGATAAAGGACGTGACATCACTGTTGGACAGCACCGCCTCCTTTGAGATGAGCCTGTCACATGACAATATCCCCGTCAAGTGGATGTTTAAAGGTGTGGAGCTGAAGTCGAGCGAAAAGTGTAAAATTCTGTCGGAGAGGAAAGCTCACAAGCTGATCCTGCAAAACGTCGACAGCAGCAACGCGGGAGAGTACACGGCTGTGGTGGGACACCTGCAGTGCAGCGCCACGCTCACTGTGGAGGGTACGTCACACTCTGATACAAATTATTGTATATCTACATAATGGAATGGTTACAATGAAACAGTAAATGAAAAGAATAAATGGATCTTTAAATTTGGTATGATTATAGATTTAGTAAAATGTTTAAAATTCCAATTTTTGTTCTTAAATCACAAAAATAAATAAATCATGATGTTATGAAATAACATAATTTGTCCTTTTTTAATGTTGTTTTTGTAACTTTTTCAGTAAAAAGTTTTTATAGTTACATTTTTAAAATGATACTTTTAGTATTTGTAGTCTGTATGTATTTTATGTTTATATGTCATAACAGATTTTTCAGTTCATAGGTGTTTAGGCATTTTGTGTATTATTTAAAAAGTAAGAGAGTAGAATTGCGATAAAATATAATTTTATTTGTAATTTGTATTTGTTAGATATTTTCCAATTTGCACAAACGACAATTTTGTGAAAAGTTGTTATTTCTAACTAAATATTTTGTCTTTGAATTCTTTCTTTGTCCCTTGCAGCTCTGCGAGTCACCAAACCCATGAAGAGCGTGGAGATCCCAGAGACTCAGGTGGCCACGTTTGAGTGTGAAGTCTCTCACTTCAACGTGCCGTCCACCTGGCTGAAGGACGGCGTGGAGATTGAAATGAGCGAGAGGTTCAGGATTGTGGTTCAAGGAAAACTCCACCAGCTGAAGATCATGAACACCAGCAGGGACGACTCTGCAGAGTACACCTTCATCTGCGGGAACGACAAAGTCTCCGCGACGCTAACCGTTAACCGTAAGACCACATTCATCAAACCCCAAAATAATGTCTAAAAAGAGGATTAACAAAGTGGAATTTGTAATCATATACAATTTGAAATATTGTCTCAGTCGTTTCACTGCCCTGTACTTTCCTGCAGCCATCCTGATCACCTCCATGCTGAAGGACCTGAACGCTCAGGAGAGAGACACCATCACCTTTGAGGTGACCGTCAACTACGAGGGCATCACCTACAAGTGGCTGAAGAACGGCGTGGAGGTGAAGTCGTCTGACAGATGTCAGGTCCGCAGCCGGCAGCTCACGCACTCGCTCACCATCCGAAACGTTCACTTCGGAGACGGAGGAGAGTATCAGTTCGTGGCCGGCTCTGCCGCCACCACCGCCAACCTGTTCGTCGAAGGTAATGTCAAACATGCTCTCAAGCAATGCATGCTGGGAAGTCTGTTAGCAAACAAATTCATTCGCTTTGTGCATTTGACGTGTATTTTCTCTCAATGTTTTTTTTGTTGTTTCCAGCTCGTCTGATTGAATTCACCAAGAAAATCAAAGACATAAAGATCACAGAGAAGAAGAAGGCCATTTTTGAATGTGAGGTTTCTGAGCCAAATATCCAAGTGATGTGGATGAAGGACGGCCAGGAGCTGGACATGTCCGAGGAACGGTACGTCAGTCTTCACACCTGTCTCTAACAACTGCTGCTGTTTTGTCAACATCAGCTGAGAGTCTCCTGCGTCGTGTTCACAGGTACACCGTGACCGCAGAGAAGTACGTTCACCGTCTGATGATCCAGACGGTTCGCATGTCCGACGCCGGAGAGTATTCGGTGGTGGCCGGATCGAGCGTCTCCAAAGCTCAGCTGAACGTGGAGGGACGCGACATCCGGATCTCCGAACCGGCGGAGCGGGAAATCACGGTGAGACGGACGTCAGCTTTAACCGCAACGATCGATGTGCATGAAATCTGGACTGACTTTAAAGTGACAGCAGACTTAAAACATAAAACAGAGAAAACACTTCTCGACTTTCATCTTAACATCTCTCTGTCAAGAAAGAGGAAGTGGATTTTCTAAAATGTTGAACTTTTTCTTTAAATACCAATAAATAGATAACTACTCCTTTAAATCACCGCGTTCATTCACGGTGTAAATTTCAGATGATTTATGACGCATCTGAATCTAAATCCTGCCTCCCTCTCTCTCAGGTTCTGGAGAAGCACAGAGCGACCTTTGAGTTCGAGGTGAACGAGGACGACGTGGAGGGTCGCTGGCTGAGGAATGGCGTGGAGATCCAGATCTCAGCGGAGGAGAGGTTCAACTACGTGGCCATCAGGAAGCTGCACCGCCTCACCATCGCCGAGACCTACAGGAGCGACGCCGGCGAGTACACCTTCATCGCCGGCAAGAACAGAAGCACCATGAACCTGAGAGTCAACAGTAAGCACCAAATCAGAAGCCAAAGGGAGAAATGCATGTTTTATGTTTTTTGTTTTCATGATGGTGCCCCCTAGTGTCGCATTCACTCTACAGAGTCCCATCAGGAATCTGGAGACCTTATTTATATCCAGCCAATCAGATGTTGCCTCATGCAGGAAGTTGCATCAACGTTGTATCACAGACAGAGCAGGAGGGTCACACAGCATCTTAATGAGATATAATATGAGATATTCTTGATCTTGACTGGGTTTAATTTGGAGAACGGGACGCGGCGTACAGAAGCCAAGAAGTCACATTGGAGCTTGTTCAAAGAATAGAAGTCAGAGGGCTATAATTCATTTACATATACACACATTTGTTTCTTCCTCTGTGACTGATAAATACCAATCCTCAGATACTGTGATTTTCAGTTTGATTGTTGTTTGTATCTAAAAAAGAAAACAAAAAAAACAAAACAAAAAAATCTTCCTTCAAGCTTATTGTGAGAGTTAATAACCGTTGTCCTCGGTGTCGACTCACCCAGTCTTTAATTTCCTGCCTGGTTCAGTCCCAGAACCTCCTCAGATCCTCCGTCACATGGAGCCCCAGTCGGTGGAGGCTGGTAAACCGGCTCGCTTCTCGGTGCAGGTGAGCGGCGTCCCTCAGCCTCAGGTCTTCTGGTACAAAGACTCCCAGGCTCTTTCTCCAGGCTTCAAGTGCAAGTTCCTCCATGACGGCAACGAGCACACGCTGCTGCTGATCGAGGTCTTCCCCGAGGACGCCGCCGTCTACAACTGCGAGGCCAAGAACGAGTGCGGCACCGCCACGAGCACCGCTTCGCTCAACGTGGAAGGTACAGCAGGGTGTTACAGCTGTGGAGCAAACATGAACAGGGAGATGTCTCAGACAGGACATGTGTAGATGCAGGTGTGTGTGTGTGTGTTTGTGTTGCAGTCTCAGAGGTGGTTTCTCCGGACTCAGCTGCTCCTGTTGCTCCTCCGGTCTGCATCCTGCCCATCGCCAGCACCTCCACCGGCGAGGGAGAACCGGCTCGCTTCCAGTGCAGAGTCCGCGGAGACGGTAAGACATTAAAAGTCTTAGATCTTAGATATTTTCAGAATAAATGCATGAAACGACACAAACACCAAACACCTTCCTGCAACCGCATTTTATCTCCGTCCAGATGTGAAGATCAGCTGGTTCCACAAGGAGAAGGAGATCAAGCAGTCAGACTTCTTCAAGATGTCTCAGTTTGACGACAGCTGCCAGCTGGAGATCTCCAGGGTTTACCCGGAGGACGAGGGCGAGTACACCTGCGTGGCCACAAACAACGCTGGGACCGCCTCCTGCTCCGCCACTCTCACACTCGACGGTGAGTTTGTCAGAGAAAAAGCAGTTGTCACCCCACACTGGGGCGTACCTGGAAAATAAAGAATGTGTTGGTAAATAACAGAAGCTAAACAGATGGGTGAACAACTAAAGGAAAAACCTGAAAACAATGAGTGTAGATATGATTACAGTTTCAATAAAGGTGCAGACATCTCTAAACTGAATATAAATATACATAAACACATGCAGTATATAATAATCTTTACGTTGGTTTTACTTTCGTTTGTCACCCATGTGTCAGTCGATGTTTTGAGACCTGATGACAGCACAGTCCTTTATCTAACTGACACTCCAGCACTCATCCCAGTGAGCATCAGTTCAGAGGTCTGAAGGTGAAAAGACACTAAGAGGCTAAATTTGGTTAAACCACTCGGGGCGGGGCAGACTGAGGCTCAGGGGAGGGGTTAAGACTCATATTTAGACCCTAAGGTGCCAAGTGTACTTAATCAATAGTTACACTGTAATCAGTGTCATATATTTACAACATAAACAACTGTAAATATTCTAATATGAAATAATATCAATATCAATATTTGCAACCTCAAATATCCAACAACCACAAACATTTTGAGTCTCTTTGTGGTTGTTTATGTCTCTTTGTGGTAGTTTGTCTCTTTGTGGTTGTTTGTCTCTTTGTGGTTGTTTGTGTCTCTTTGTGGTTGTTTGTGTCTCTTTGTGGTTGTTTTGTGTCTCCTTGTGGTAGTTTTGTGTCTCTGGTTTGCTAGTGAGAAAAGTCTCTTAGTAGCAGATGAGCAGCAGAGTGTTTTTTCAAACTGAAAATGGACCAATCTGTGTTGACTGGGATGAATGTAAATTGAATGAAGCACATGAAGTCAACAAACATGCTTCCTTTTAGGGCAAAAACAAACAGTGGACAGTCCTGCTGAGACTCAGTGGCACGTCTCCACCAGCCTCACCAGTATAAAGAAACCTTCCATTGGCCAAAAGCCTGTTTTCATCCATCCTATCACAAGCTGCATGGTCCCACACGGGGAGGTGGCCCGCTTTCATGCATGCGTATCCGGCATGCCGAAGCCAGAGATTAGCTGGTTCCATAACCGACAGCCGGTTCGGCCCACCAAGAACGTGGTGTTTCACTTCGACGAGGTGACCAACACCGCCACGCTCATCATAGTCGATGCTTTCTCTGAGCATGCGGGGCAGTACACCTGCAGGGCGGCCAATAACGCTGGAGAGGCCACGTGCTCAGCCACCCTCACCATTACCAGAGGAGAAGAAGAAGGTAACTGCTGGATCCGTCGGCTGTGTCCAGATTCCCTCTGACACAACCCGATTAATTCACCTCCTCTTCTGTCTCTAGTCAAAACTCTTGAAGGGATGTCCCAAACCAACCACAAGATCACTATCAGATTTTTAAACCCCCTTAATATTGTTTTGTGAATATAGAATCAAAAATGAGAAAAAATAAATTAACAAACACATAAAAAACTGTATTGTTCAAGGAAGTGGAGCAGAACCTTTAATGGAGGGCGATAGAAACGGAAGCATCACTGACAGGAACGATCAGTTGATGTTGACGTGTTGCTGTTTACGTCACAAAATCAGTCTAGCTTGATTATCAGTTGCTGCGAAGGACGCAACAGGTCGTCCTCCCGTCCTGGATGATCACATCGTTTGTTTCCTGAAAAAAAGAAAGAGACACCTGCAGCATTTCACTATCTCACTTTTTTGGCTGGACAGCGACAGAGTGTCCAGCCCTGAATGACTGACTGACTGAGTGATCATATTTACACCATTGGGCAGCTGAATGCCACGTCTTTAATTTATGTGTTTGGTGATTTTGTCAGACGACGTCACGGTTATAAAATCAGGATTTGACCATAAGCGGTCCAGCCATATACCAGGTTTTGACCTTTATATAAACTCATAACTCAAACATTTCTTTAATGTATAATAAATATAAACTGATCAGATCCTACAGTTAAAAACAGTGTGTCCGTCCTCTCTGATGGATAAGTTATGCATTTCTACAGGATATTTATTTATTCAAGTATCCTCGGACTGCGACAGATGTTCTTAAAGTGACCCTGGAAAATAAGGAAAACGTGATTGGGACATCCCTCAGCCCTTCTCCACATCCGACTAACCCCACTGTTCCAGAGAGACCTCCAGTCCTCCGGTTTGAATCATTGGATTATCACCTCCTTTTCCTCCTCACCTTCATCCTCACCCCCCACAGGAGCAAACTCACCTCTTCCTCCTCCTCACCTTCCTCTCTTGTCCTGCACAGGAAAAACTCTGGGAAATGCATGAAACTCACATGTATAACCTCTGTTGTCCCTCCATCCTCCAGGAAACTCAAACCTTTCTTTGTCTGAATCGTGTAGTATCTGTATTACTTATTTTTGTTCCTTGTCACTGTTTTTCACCTTGTTCTTACAGATGTTCTGTGTTTACACCTCAAACTCTAGCCTCGCTTAACTCAGACTAAATGGACTCAAATCTACTTGCCTTTTGCATTTATATCCCGTTATTTTTGTCCATTGTCAGAGTGAAATGAAGTTATCATTGCACTTCAGTGCTAATGCTGACAAATCATGAAAATACGAATCTGCTGTACAAATCAGTTTAAGCCAATTAAGAGATAAAATAATCCTTTATTAGTCCCACAGTGGGGAAATTAGCAGTAACTGCAAAATGACAATATCAAATACTTACAGATAAATAATATAATAATATGATATGTATTATTAGATATTTAAATATAAAAAATAGCAGATCAGAAACACTCATGGTTTTAACTCCACTTCAGAGCTGTAGTTCTTGAGTTTTTAAGTTTTGTTAAATTAAATGTTTTGAGCAAGTATAGTTTAAGTTTCCTCAAATCACAGTCCAGTTGTGATGGAATCAAACACAGAAGGGAAATACATTTGAGTCCAGCAAAGAAAAACTGAGAGAGGTGGAGGTCCTGTCTTTAAGAGAGTCACTGGATCCTCACTGGATCTGTCCTTTGTGGGAATAGTCTGCTAAACATCTCCACTCTTTCCTTCACAGTGGCTCATGTGAGAGAGCAGATCGAAGCCAAGATTGAGGAAGAAGTCAAAGGTAAGGTCACATCAACTTTCATATACATCACAAACAGCAGATTATTGCCACGCAGAGTGGAAAAGAGACAGTTTGACCACATTTCTGTTTCACTTGATTGATTTTTTTCTTTACTGTGAAAGTAGTCTGTCAGTGGTGAACTCTAATCCAAACTTTGGCTCATTGAACATGTTTTTTAAGTGGAGATACTGTTTAGAAAAAATGGATAAAAAGCAGATGTGTGGGTGCATGTTTTATGGATTATTTGGATTACAGTTGGCCTGCATTCACAGACTACTTTTAGACTTTGTAAATATGTCATGTTGAACTGTCCCTTTAAATGATCTTTGAATTTCCACAGTTGCATGTCATCTTTATGTGTCTTGATAGAAAGTTCCTATGGTCTGTATTTTTCTACCTGCTTCACTTTGATAATATTCCATGGTTTCCCCCAGACGAGCACTGATACAACTTGCTTGTACCGGTTTTTGACAGTGGCGGTTTGCATCCAAAAGTGCGTTTCATTTTGGCATGAAGGTTCCTCTGATCTTTTCCCAGAAAAGGCGCAGGATATGTATCTTTTAAAGCTTCCGGATTTGAAATGCCCTTTAAAAGATATGGAGGTTTACTGCATCTGGAACTGATACCTTCCTCCTGCAAAATATTTCTTAGCCTGGCTTGCAGATAGTGGGATGTGATTCCTGTGGTTTGCATTCTAAATAACACCAGTAAACTATATTAGTTCGAATAAACGCCTTCTCACCCAATTTTCCAGCTTCATTTGTTAAAGTTTTGGAATAATATATTTGTTCTGGAGAGCTTTGCTTCTCATAGATACTTCTGCATCATTTATTTCCTGTTAAGTTTAAGGATTAGAAAGGGCGTTTATTCTCCTGTCTGCAAGTCAGGTAAGGAATATTCTAGTAAAAAGCCAAAGCAATTATCAAAAAGTTAAACGAGCGAATGTTAGCAGCCCATCTTGGAAATATGCATTTTTTTAATAATATTAAATAATTTATGTTTTGAAGAAATTTCCACAGACGAAGGATCAAAACTTCCTGCAGGTTTCTAATAAAAAGAATCAAGTCTTGCGTTTATTCGAACAAATATGGTGAGTGAAATTATTTCTTATAGCATTGTGACTCCCAGCATGCATTTAATATTTCCATTAATGATTCATTCAAATCCTTTTCTCTTTTTTACCCCTGGAGGCTGTGTTGTTCTGACAATTGTCTGTTTCTTTTTTCAGAGCTGTTTTATTATGAAAGCAAAGAAGGAACACTGCACAGCAGCGCAGAGGTCACCGGTGCTCGACAGCTGAGAGGAGCCTTCTCCGACACCGAGGACTTCCTGGATCATGGCCTGGTGTCAGCCAATCGCTGCTCCAGCAGAACCTCCTCCATCACCTCGTGGACGGACAACATCAAACCGTCTTTCACCAAGAAACTCAAGTTCCAATCCGTCCTGGAGGGGGAAGCAGTTGAGTTAAAGTGTAAACTAGTCGCTTGCCCTCCACCTACTATCCTCTGGTTTCATAATAACAGATCTATTCCTAAAGAGCGTAGACGTAGGATCTGCTCTGACAGCAAAATGCACATGCACACTACCAGTCTGGTTATTGACAGTATCAAAGAGAAGGACTCAGGCAGTTATAAGGTCATGGCAATAAACACAGAGGGTTCTGCCGAGTCCACAGCATCACTTTTGGTGTCACTGAGGGAAGAGCAGTCCGCTAACTACCTGGGCTTTGTTAAACGCTCTGCCAAAGCCCATGAAAGCATAGACACCATGGCAGAGCAGAGGAAAGATAGGAAGATTAGGGTTGAGCTCAGGTGTGTTGGCTCTCCATTTGACAAGATGTCCAAAGTCCATCAGGGAAGATCTAGGTCTAAGAACTCTTTGGTGCGTACTGTGTACTTTCGGTCTGGTTCCCATTCAAAAGAGAAAGTGTCAGAGAAAGAGTCTAAACGTTTGGAAACTGCCTCTGAGCGTGCCCCGTCCCCTCCCCTCATGTTTGACAGGTCTGAGCGCTTTAATGACAGATTCAGTGATATCTACTGTGACCGGCGCACCGGTGCTAGGTTCAGTGACAAATTTAGCGACAGGTGCAGCGACAGGTACAGCGAAAGATTCAGCGACACAGAGAGCCTTCACAACGAGGTAAGAACAAAACTTACTACACTCCAAAAAGCTGTAAAACAGAAGAAGAGACTTTCTATCTGTACCATGTCGTCGTCTGAGTTTGAGTTAGAATCAGTTGCCAGTGAGTCCAGCTATGCTGATTATGTTGAGAGGCTCAGAGTGAAGCCTGCCTCGCTGCCTGATGTCCAGCATTTCAATCGAACTTTAGATGTGGGGGAGAGCCATAGGGAGTTTCAAGGTAAAACCTCAAGCGGGGATCCCTCTCAGCCTCGTGTGAGGCATTCATTTGAGCCTCAGTCCAGAACCAGGGCCATTCAGATCATGAGAGGTGAGTTGGTTGATACACTGCTGGAACCCACAGAGAGGAAATCAGGTGAAAAATATTCTCAGTCACTGGAGGGTAAAGATGTTGATGAATCTCAGGCAGATGTGAGAATGATGCAGCGTCACAGTGTTGTTGCTGACCACAAGGTGGACGCTGAAAAGCCTGAAGCCCCATACTCTGAAACATATCCAGGAGCTGCAGCGTACATTGAAAGCAGGGAACATCTCGCCACATCTACCAGGGAGAAGTTCCTTAGAGGATCACTTACACCAGAAGAAAAAACAGAAACAGTAGAGCCGTATGAAGAGGAGAGTGCAGGGGAGTCTTTGAGGGCTCAGTATGAGAAGAGCCTGGAAGCTGAACGGATGGAGTGTGAGGAGAAACTCCTCGCCCTGCGGATCAGGAAATGGCAGCAAGGAAGTAGGGCATCAGAGGAGGAGACATTTCACCCTGATACTGATCTGCCCATGCCAGCAGAGACACAGTACATGGAGCCTGACGGGCACGTTTACACCCAACAGGAAATGATAGAGAAAAGAGCAATTGTTGAAACTGAGGCCATGCCCTCCTCGTTCCGTAAATCACCAAGAATGAAGGCAAGGTTGGTAGATCCAGAATTTGCAATTGCATCAACACCCAAGTCACCGAAAGTAAAAGCCAGAGGAGAAGTGGAAATGTCCCTCTCCTTGCCTGCAAAGTCAGCCACAATGGATACCAGATTAGCAAAAACAGAAGGTGAAGCATCGCCCATGCAAGTACAAAAATCCCCCAGAATAAAAGCTAGAGCTACAGAAGTAGAAGCAGAGTTGTCACCCAGAACAAAAACCAGGGCAGAGGACCTAATTCGAGAGACACCCAGACCACGGCCAGAAAGATCGTCACCACTCGGCTTAGCAACAGAAACAGTTGAGCCATATGAAGAGGAGAGTGCAGGGGAGTCTTTGAGGGATCAGTATGAGAGGAGCCTAGAAGCTGATCGGATGGAGTGTGAGGAGAAACTCCTCGCCCTGCGGATCAGGAAATGGCAGCAAGGCATGCAAATTTCAGAAGAGGAGACATTCCACCCTGAAACTGATCTGCCTCTGGTGGCAGAGACTCAGTTTATGGCTCCTGAGGGGAACGTTTACACCCAGCAGGAGGTGGGGGAGAAAAGAGCAACTGTAGGCCACGCTACCACGTCAACCCCTAAGTCACCTAAAGTAAAAAGTAGAGTAGAACAGGATGAAACCATTGTCATGTTGTTGCAAAAGTCACCCAGAATTAAAGCTAGAGCAGAAGAAGAAAAAGCTGAGTCATCACCTAGAACGAAAGCCAGAACAGAGAAGATGTTGTTTGAGAAAACAAGAGAAGAGCGTGAGCTCCAGCTTTCAAGGGAGAACATCTCCGAACTGAAGAATGAGAGTGAGAAGTTTGTCAGTGAAGAGGAGGCCTTAACTCAGCGGATAATGAAATGGCAACAGGATGTTCTGATGGAACAAGAGCAAGCTGTGAAGCTAGAGTCGGACTGGGTGGAGGGTTACTCACCATTACAGGCAGAGAGAACCTCTGAGGTTGGAAGAAATGTTGCGGAGGCTTCTGCTATAGAATCAATTTCACAAAATGAAGTTGTATGCAGCAGAAAAACTTCACCAGGTAAAACGGCCAAAGAGAAGTTCCTTTCAAGTGAGTCAGTCCCTGCTGGTTTCCAAGATCAGCAGGGTGAGACCCTGCAGTGGCCACCTGCTGGCGAGCTGCCAACAGAGGGGCGTGAAACTAGGTTGCAAAGGGACAGTGAGTACTTTGTAAGTGAGGAGGAAGCACTGGCTCAGCGCATCTTGAAATGGCAACAAGATGTTGTCGAACAAGAGGAAGTAGCTGAACTGGAGTCTGAGTGGGCTTTGGACAGTCAAAGCAAACAGTCTGGCTCTAGGTTGCCATTTGAGACCATTTCACCATTTGATAGTGAACCCCATCATGGTGGCATATCTCATGAAACTGATCCCACTGACCTTCGATCTCCACATACATTACTTGCTGGTGAAGCCTTACCAACAAAAAAACCTTCCCCTCCTGCTGCTGGGTGCGAACCATCTCCTCATGGGTCTTCTTTTATAACAAGGTATTCTCCTACGCATCCTGCTTTACCGCACCATGCAGGTGCGCCTGTTGAAAGATCCTATGATTTAAAAACTACTCCTCTGAAAGACACGATGGGTCTTGAAGCTTCACCAGTTCAGAGATACTCTCCGACCCAATTTACTAGTGCACCTCAGGGGGAGAGTCCTCATAAGCCCTCCCAAGAATTTTCCTCAGTCAGGAGACGCTCCCCATGCCGTAGACCACAAGAGTCTGTGGAAAAAGCGACAGAGAGGAGTTGGAGCAGGGAGGAATACAGTATGTCTGCTGATAAATCCAGCAGTCAACGCTTCCAATCAGACATGAGAGAGGAGAGAGGGATGAGAGAGGAATTAGGATCTACGAGAGAGACCAGCGAATGGAGACAACAGAAGGGTTTCGCAGGTGTGAGGAGAGAGGAAAGACATGAAGATTTGATAAGATCACAACAGGGTGATGA